GGTTTTGTTGTTGTTTTTAATTCTTTCTACCATGCCAAGAAGACATTTATGAGTTGGTTGGGTTTTTTTCTTGGTTCTTCTCCTTTTCAGAAATATAAAGGAAGCCAAGTCAAGTTCTATATAAACTCTCTAATGAGTCTTACAGCACTTCGAAATGAAACTTGCTTTCTATTTGCACTTTCACTGTAATGCCACTGAGGCTTCTACCAGGTTTCCATGCATTTTTTCCAAGATCTGATCTTCTACCGTAAGAAGGTACAAAGCAAGAACTCTTTGATTAAGAACAGAGTAATTCAGTAGAAGACCCTGGACTTTCTGTTTTTCAAGTCACATCGCTTGAAGAAAGAAATCGAAACTTTGCTGCTTGCTCCAAGAATAGGGAGCCAGAGGAAGTTAGTGCGCAATCTGTTGTAACACATTCTAGCATTACAGCTGCTTAGACTGCATGCTTTTTAGTAATACATGGAAACAGCTCTCGCAGGACTAAAGTGACAGCTCCCTGGCTTCTATGCCAAAATCTGATCTTTTTTCCTTTTTTTTTTTTTTAAAAGGTCTAAATATTGTACTGAGTACATGAGTTGCTGAAAAGATGTGTCTTTCAGAGAATGTAAATTACTAAATATTTTTAAGAAGCAAATTAAAATCTCTGTGCTTGTTATTTCTTTATATTGTCAATAAGTAATGGACACTGGGAGGAGGTACGTTAAATAAGATAAATGGGATTTTAAAAAGGCGGTCAGAGACTAGACAGTTTTCTCCATTTAACAATTACGTAGATTCGCTTCACTGTGGTTCCTGCCCCTTTTTATGTCTAACTGTGCTAAGCATATATTAAAAATACTTAATAGGATCCTTTTTGCCTTCATCACTGAGCCTGTAATATAAATAATGAAATTAGTAGAAGAGTTAGAGCCGCTTCTTGTTTGCCTGAAACTTGGGCTAGGAGTTGTTTCACTTCCCCTCCTGGGAGAGGATCATCTAATTGTCCTAACCCTTTCACCGCCCACCAAAAACAGTCATTTATGCAAAGTAGAACAGTTTCCTATGGGATCTCCTGTGGGAATTTGAAAACAGTCTCACTGAATATTTTAATGTCTGCTTAGTGTTGCTGACAGGGCTAGAAAAATGGAACTTCACTCTTAGGCATTTTGCCTAAATATGTTTGTTTAAATAGAAGATTGCCTAAACAGCTATATATATATAATGCTCACTTTTTTTTTTATAGGCTTCTCACAAGCTGCATGCAGGTTTCTATGTTAGTCCAAATATTACACAAAAGACAGCAGCAGTGACGGAAGACAAATAAAGCAGCATTGGGATTTAAAAGAAGTTTGTTGATTCTAACTCACCCATTAGCAGACAGAACGCATAATAAAAAGCACATGGATTTTGATGTGTAAAGAGTGGCCGAAAAGTGGGTAACAACTCAATTTCCTTTAAACTGATTCTAGGCTGCCTTTTGGAGAGCGTCCTGTTGTTTGGCCTTGGTTTCTGTTTCACCCATACCTTGTGAATAAACACACCCTTCAAGGGCTGGGGGTCACTCAGCTATTGGAAATACTAACTCCTACTTTCCCAGAAGGGCACGTGTATTTGGGGAAGACAGACATGGACCATGTCATTTGCTGACTCGTGGTTTAATCTTTATTTTGCACTTCCAGCTGATAAGACCACTTTGTGCAAAAGTAATACAGGAAATGATGCACTGCAAAAACCAAGAGTGGCAGAAAGGGAAACGGAATGTACTGGCAAGGGCTCAGCACTGCGGACGCGCTCTCTGCTTCTTGGAAACAAAAAACTCCACCTACGCTGCTTTTTTTTTTTTTGTTAGCTTAATACTGATATTGGAGCTTAGCATGAATAGTATACAGCAGCCTGTGGGTTTCCTCCCCTTTTACTTTATCTTGTCGCTTGTTCAGGGCTTGGAGTGTGCTTAGACTTTGTTCAGGCAGGAGTCCAGTACCAGCTAGGTCCTGCTGAGCTGCATTACTTCCAGACGTATCTGCAAGTACTGTACATAATGCTACTCCTCCTGCTCTGAGTGTGTTTCTTGCTGCAGTTGTTGTTACAGACATGCCAGCTGTTAAGATAATACCTTTGATTGTGATGGTGAAATACATTTTGGAGTGTATGATTGTGGGAGTGGGACGTGTGTGGTGCAGGATTTGATCAAAAAACTTCAGAAAATCTGTTCCTATGGTCTGACTACTTGGGGCTGCATCTGAATGTCGTCTTAGTCTTTGCAGAGCTTTTGTACTAGCTCATGTTAAGGTTGTCTTTTCAGGCACTTGTATAAACATACAATCTTACAGAGGGGACTCTTTTTTTTCTTTTTTTACAGCAAGTAGGTTGGCCACTTATTTTTAAAGTAGCTTGGTGGAAATGGGAAATGCATGTCTGCATTCATTATCAATGTTGAAAGAAGTTTGGATTTGAGATTTAGACTTTGTACCTTCTATTTTATTAAAACTTCAACTCAAGTCTTTTATTTTTTTTTTTAATTCAAATGTATGTGAAGTAGAAAGATTGACTTGATTACTTTGTGATGTGCCAATGAACTTGTAACTTTTGTGTGTGGAACTTGTATCTTTTGTTTGAAAGATACAGAAAAAAGACATTTAGAATGTTGGTTGAGTTACTATATATGAGTTGAGAATAACTCTGTTACTTACAAGCACATTTGAAGCACATGTACTGGAATTCTGGTAATAGGGTTCTTAAATTGGGACAGCATTTTAATAGAGCACTTTATCCGTACACACACTGTATACCTGGGGTACAGTCAGTGACAGCAATGGAGTTTCAGTTCATTTAACAATACAGCACATGCCCAGGTAACAAAATAAATTCTTGAATTTGCCCCAGGCGTATGCAAATCTTCCATTGCATTGACATTATTATTTCAAATACAATTCTTAACATAAAAGGAATGGGACAAAGTGCAGGTAGAGATGGTCTGTGTCTTAGTCCATAAACTACATTTATGTAAATAATGATTATGCATTCAGCCTAATAAAATTGAACCTTTGCAATTAGATAATTGGTTTAGTGACAAATTAATTTGAACCAACTGGATGGTTTTCAGCTTATTACTTCAAGTATAGTGTTACACTATGAAATCATTATGGTGCATGATAGTATGGAGGGTAAGTGTGCGGATCTTAGAATTGTAAAAGCTCTGCCAATCTTTTCCTAGTGTAACTAAAATTCTGTCTGACAAGGGTGTGCTGACACTTTCTATTCTGTGTCTGTATAGGTTGCTGGTTGGTTGGGGGATTTTTTTTGTCTTTCTGATGGCAACAAAAACATTCATATCCTTTTCCCCTTCCCCTGCAACCTGTTGGTATCCAGTCCAGGATGCGTTTCCTGTCTGTCTTCATGCTCTGTTTGAAAATCAGTGGTGTAGTGCTCTTTGTCTGATTTCCACCCCCCCCGCCTCCTTGCCAGTGCAGGGTCTCTCCTAATTCCCCTGGCAGAGCCTTTTGCCTCCTCCCAGCCTGGGCAAGTACAAAACTCACTGCCCACAGCAGGAGCTTCTTCATGCATGGAGCTCCTCCCCCTCTTCACCCACTGCTTCATCCCCCTTCCATATCTTTCAACTCAAGGACCACTGTGCCATCTAAAATCCTCTTATCAGGACTTGCTTCTCCTTCTCAGTCCTTCATGTGTCCCTGAGTACCTCAGGCAGGCATTGCAACGGGAAGGATCAGGATGTAATCGGTGAAGTAAGTTCATGGTATCTTTCCCTCACAGCCTGCTTATGAGCTGTGAAGGTTTTTGATGGGGTGGGGAGATGGAGTTTTCTTTCTCATGTGAGATGAGTGAGGGCAAAGATCTTTCTAGTTTCTTTTCTTCATTTTGGTTTGTTCCTCAAAGTAAGGTGGAGGTGAAGCTGAACTGTTTTGTTTCAGATCATGATGTGCACAAGGCTAGCACGGTGATTTTTGAGCTGCATCACTGGCAGTTTGGAGAGAGCTGGCTGGCACAATGCTGTTGGGGCATATTGCTTCCAGTTGCTCTCTAAAATAAATAAATAAAAAAGTGCTAACGATCTTGCACTGGTTCCTTGGGATGTATTGTTGCTTAAGGTTGCAACGGCTGATAGGCAGAGGGGAGCGCCCTGCATACTTAATGGTGAAAGATGAAATCTGAGGGACTGTTTTAGGCTAGATTTAATGTGAACTACATTTCTAATATAGGACCCTTGCCCTTTTGTAGAGTATGCATGGGAATACAGCCATGTCTTTTTATGTTTTGGCATCTATCGAGATTCTCATGGTACTAACTGAAGCCACACTTGGGCACCGAGCAGAAGTATTGTTTGCAGCTGGCAAATGCAGTTGCTGTCCCCCTTGCTGCGTGGCACAAAAATCACTGAGGTCACACAGCAAATTGGATGAGGGAACTGAGCTGATGGGGAATTGTTGCACCACCTATCTCTGCCCCCTGCCCTCTCCTCCCACTAACCCTCCCTCCCCAACCTCTTTTGGTTTTGTTTATGCTGCGTCATTATTTTCCATTGTGATCACCTCATTTTTTCAGGGCTGTTTTGGGGAGAGGGATATACAGGGTTCAGTAGCAGGCCCTGCTGCTTAAAAGTCCTCATCAGATATGCCTTGAGTCCAGTTCTGGAGGCTGTCTAGGCTTTGTTGTTGTATTTCTGGTGCTGGCTCATTTTTTGGTCACACCATTCTTGCAGGGTGGGTGGGGGGTGTTTTTAACTGCTGTATGTTAATTTTTATTTTTTTTTCTCTCCCTCTGATAATCTCCCGCAGGTTCTCAGCTGGAAGGGTTTAGAATACTGAGAAGGTTGCGTCCATCAAGGGGGGGATGTCAGCGTTGCCTTCCTGGGACTGGAGGACTGAAAAGGAGAAAGGACCAGGATTGTTTGAGACAGGCTGCTTTTAACTGCCAACGCAATCTGCTGCATCCTGGTGGTGGTGGAAGAATAGGACAGGTTGTCCTGCTTAGTCCTGTGGTATCACCACAGTGGAGTCACCATGAATGTGACAAGTTTATTCTCCTTCACCAGCCCAGCAGTGAAGAGGCTGTTGGGATGGAAGCAGGGGGACGAAGAAGAAAAATGGGCAGAGAAGGCTGTTGATGCATTAGTGAAAAAACTGAAGAAGAAAAAAGGTGCTATGGAGGAGCTGGAAAAAGCATTAAGCTGTCCTGGTCAGCCCAGCAACTGTGTCACAATTCCTCGTTCCTTGGACGGCAGGCTTCAGGTTTCACACCGGAAAGGGCTACCACATGTAATTTACTGTAGAGTGTGGCGCTGGCCAGACCTGCAGAGCCATCACGAACTGAAACCACTGGAATGCTGTGAGTTTCCCTTTGGTTCAAAACAGAAGGAGGTTTGCATCAACCCCTACCACTACAAGCGAGTAGAGAGTCCTGGTAGGTTCTTCCTTGTTTGTACCTTTACATCTTATCTGAACAATGCAAAGTATGGCAATTAATCATGTGACTCATCAGCTTGAATAAGCAAAAGTGGCTGTTTGCACATGTCAGATTCTTCCTCTGCAATTTATCTGGATGTGCCAGATAATTTGGCATGCCTTTCACATGGCAAATGCTTCACTTGTGTAAATGTTTTATCACTATACAGGGGCATAGTCTTAGTACATGCCTCAAGCTGTTGGGCCTGGTATCACCTGGTTTTGTTGGAGACCACTATTCCTCAATTAATTTGTTTTTTACTCAATTATGCAGATCGTGAATCTGTATGAAACATTGCAAGCTAATGTAAAGGATTATTGCAGTCTGTGCATGAAAACCGTTCTGACATACTGTGGTGGTGGTATACTTATTATTTCATGTCTATCACTTTTATTTCTTCATCCCCAGAAGATAATATTGTCTTTAGAATCTCCCACATTTTTGGCCTTTTGAAAAGACTGTGATTTTAGACAGCAGAATATAATCCCCTCAACTTAAAGCTTTGATAGCAATGTTTGGTTGTACGTGAAGTTTAACTATCAGCTGTTCTGTGAGCACAGTTTGCTCACCTGTTACCCACTTACCCACTTCTTTTTTAATGTGCAACCCATTCTCTCTGTCTCCTCTTCAAAGGCCAAACCTCTTTTTGATAAATCTGTGCTTAATTTTACTTATGCAAGTTTATTACCAGGACATGCTTTCAGGGACTAGATTGAAATGTGCTTGGACACATCTACACTAGTCTCCAGCTACTTGTGAGGTTGTACAGGGACATCTGCAGAAATGCATTGCAGGCGTGGGTGGACTTTTCTGGTTTAAATTGGGGAAGTCCATCTGTGTTACGCATTTCATAAACTGTGAAGCTGTCTCTGCAGAGTGGCATGTACAGCTTAAGAATGACAGTGGAAATAAGATTGTTGCAAGATTGTTTTTCTGTGGATGGAAATTGCATTTGTCTTGGATCTGCAACACATAGCGCATATCTAGACGTTAAATATTTCCCTTTGGTGTGTTAGTATTAACTTGGAAATCATGTGAACAGCAGAGGTAATACCCATGTATGTATTTAAGCAGCAGAAGCTTGAACAAAGGAACTCTGCACTGCAAAAACAGTTCTTAAAAAAAAAAGAAAATCTAAAAGAAATGTTAAAATTCTTAACAATTCCGTGTTAAGCAGAAATGTGATAGTAAAATAGTTATGTCCTTGTACTGCTAGCTGTCTGCATATGTCTGTGCTAGTTGCTTGCATTCAGTATTCCAAAATACTGAAAATTAAGATTCCTGAAAGACGTCTGTTTCCATCGGATCGAGCAACAGTTGGCCTCCTACTGTAATATTAAATGACATGTTCTAACTCATTTTGCTTTAATCTTGGAAACAATTACTGGGTTTGAGAACATTCTCATTTGGACCATTTATACCATATCTAAAAATAGGTATTTGTAAACATCCTGTCACTTCAATGAGATATGCAAGCTAAAAATAGAATAAAGCTTTCAAAAGGTGTCTAACTAAAATACACATTTTTAGCTGAGTGCTGCGAAGTCATTTGAGTGGTTGAAAAGCTGGGGTCTGGGTGTTAAGTCATCTTATGAATTTTGTATCTGGGAAATGGAGCAACAAGTTATTAACTGTAAGTCTGAATTCTGCATTGCTCTTTACTTGGTTTTAGATGAGACAAAAATCTCTACATTCATGTAGCTACAGAATTTTTGCTGGGGAAGAAAAACCAACAAAGCAGTAACTTAATCAAGTTGGAGATGGCAGAGATAAAATGCTTCCCTTTTTGTTCAGAGAGTACCCTTCTTCACAGAAAACCTAGATATTCTTGGTCAATTTTCTAATAGGCAACTGGGCGGTTTTCTTGTAAACATTAGGGCTGTAGTCAGTTTGACAGAGTATTTGGTCTTTCACAAGCTCAATGTGCTGTTCTAACCACTTAAAATATTCTGGAGGTAGCTGTTGAGCAGGATCTAGTGTTCACTTCTGAGGTGCTCTGTTACATCAGGGTCTGGAGGTACAGTGTTCTATGCACTGAAGTTATGTCTTGAACTTTTAACAGGCAAAGTGCGAGAGTGGGGTTGAAGCCCACTGTGGTTTTACTGAGGTCTCTGGCTGGCTATGTAAAGGAGGAGGGGTTTATATTTAGCCAGCCACAGATCTGCCATTGTTTTGAGGGATATTACATGGGCATGAGTGCAAAATCGTGGCTTTTGGAAACAGGTGGTAGCTGAACTCCTGTTTGGCTTGGAGAGCTGTGCTTCAGGACTTACTTCTTTTTTTCCTATCCCTTCCTTGTTCTTGCTGTCCTCCAAGCATTGTCTTTATCTTCATTTCCTGACAGTCACTCCCAAATTCTGCTAACCATTTTTTCCCATTTTTGCCAGGACATTAAAACACCATTATTGCTGCATAAGTGCTTACACTTTGAGATTAATGGGCAGTGGGAATTCATGCATGAGTCACTGTTTCCAGCAGTCTATGGACTCAAGCAGATATCAAGGTTTGTGTTTCCAAGGCTATCATCGCAGCCAGGAGGCTTAGAAATATACTTTCTCTTGACAAAACAAAATCGGAAGCTCAGATTGTGTACAATGTGCATTTTGTTTGCAAGGTACATCATGAAATTTTGTCTCCGCTTGACAGCACAGTCTGTATTTAACTGCTTTGTGCAGATCCAGTTACTGGACAGCTGAAGCATGGGGTACATGTATGGAGTGACATCTATATGTTCACTCTTCAGCTGGTTGTCGTGTGATTAGTTTCAGTGTTGTATAGGTTTTGAGGTAAGGACTAGCGGTAAATCCTCAAATATGTAAAACCAGGAAATGCGCTAAGTTGGGAAGATAGTGCTATGGATGCTTCTCAGGTTTCATGGTGCCAGGGGGATGTGTGGATTTTCTACCTTGATACCTTATTCTATCCTTGCTGTTTAGCCTGAGAAGATAAGCTTGGAAAACATGAGAACTGGCATGCTGTGGTGTGTCTGCCAGCTACAAAGCTACACCTGAATCCAAACGAGGTTTTTTCTGTTAGCCAGGCTAGATAGGAACCGATTGTAAACAGTCAATTGGAGGCGGAAAACTATCAGCAGTCTCAAATCAGGATCCTCCCAGGTGTCCCTGAGCACAGGCTGTGCAGCCTGCCCTGTGCAAGGAGGGGAACGTGGCATCTGGCTGGCACGTGGGTGTGACGTGGTGGTGGTACCATATTCGTACCTAACCTGACCTAGAGGCTCTGTGCAGGCACGGGTGCCCATCTGATCCTGCAGTGAGTCAATCGAGAAAACTGAACAGACAGGAAACTACTTTTTTGGCACGGTTAGCTTGGCAAGCTCGGTGCCCTCAGCTCGCTCGCTGTGGAGTCAGATGGGGGCAAGGCAGCATGGGGGCACGGGGTGAAGGCGAGGAAGGGTGGCCTTCAGCAAGCTGCTCCCCAGGCGATAGAGACGCGATCTGTGGCAGGGTGCATAAACAACTCATGCTCGTTGTGTTGTGCCAGCACAGCTGTTTGTGTGGCCTTGTGCTGAACCAGATCACAGTCACTTTTTCCCTCCCCTGCTGTGTTATCTTCCAGGCTGATCAGAGCAGCGCCAGGGCTCACGGGGTGGCTGCAGGAACATCTGTACCAACACAGCCCTGTCGTCAACGTGTGGGAAGGAGTGGAGGTGGTGGGGAAATGAGAGGAGAGAGTAGAGGCTGTTTCGTTGCTGGGGATGGGAATAGAACCTTGTACTCAACTGCCAGGAAGAAATATCACCTCAAGCTGTGTTACAGTAGCTCACTGCTGCTGTTTCTTATGTCTGTTGTGTGCAGAATTATTTCTGGTGCAGGGTAGTTAATGGCTGTCAAATTTCTCCCTTGGCAAGCCAAAGCAAAGCTTTTAATTAAGGAGGGCAGGGTCTGAATCTGATGCCTTTTAAAAACTGGCACACTTAGCTGAACTGGTGTGTTCACTTGGCTGAATCTGCTTTTTCTCCTCAGTTTTAGAGATCTGGAAATCAGGCTCATACCTGGTTTAGGACTATCCTTAAGTATGATCAAGACTTGAGAAATAATTAGGTGTAGACCATATGTAGAGACTGTGAGGACAAAGTGAACATGATGTGGCATTTTCAGAGACAGATGAGGAACAAATGACCTCTCAGGTTTTGCTGGAGAATGTGTGAAATCACATTTGAAAGTCCCTCCTGAGATAATTCCTTCCCTTCTTTTATTCCTTTAGTTTCTGTGGAGATACAGCCTCTGTCACTTGCCTCTGTCCTCAGTAATGTCAATGGAATTAGGTGAAAGATGTCATCTGGATTTGAGGGGGAAAAAAATTCTTTTTTTAAGCCTGGATCCCATTTGGTCTAACAGCAAAACAAAAGGAATGGGATAGGAGCAGGGAGGATGAAGAGGTGCTTAAATTGATACTGCTATTAAAAAAAAAATAAATCACACCTCTAATGTGGCTTTAGGGGAGGAGGTTCTGTTATTTTGCCTTAGTTAAAGGGAAGGAAGGTAGGTGAAGAAACTGAATACTTCATTTACTTCAAGTACTACTGAACACTAGCTCTCAGTTCCATCTGATGCAGAATTGTCTTAGTTTGATTCTACTAAATGTCCTTGCTCATCAGCCTGCTAGGTTAAAGAGGATTTGAGTTTATAATATGTTTCAAAGGAGACAAAAGGGGAATTAACTTCTCTTTTATGCTTCATGTGTAGAAGTGGTTATGTAAATGGCTACCCCTTGCTCCGCAATCAAATGTTGTGTCCTGAGAGTGAGTGTCCAGAATTTGCTGATACACTCAGGGCTCAGGCTTGGGAGAAACATACTCTTCATTGATCTGAGTGAGCTTAAACCTGCCTTGGAAAAACAGTTGTTAACTTTTCGATATTCATTTCTGGAGGTGCTTACTGATGCTCTGTTGTGCTCAAAGCATGCGGTACCAGGGGGTACTAAAACCAGTCAGTCAA